TTAAGAACTTTACACTATCTAATCCTAACTTAAGTAAATCGCAAGAAGATGTATAAAAAAATAAAAACAAAAGGTAAATCGCAAGAGTACCCAAAAAGATAATGACCATCTCAATTTTTTTTTTTCACAATGAGACGTTTAAAAAATTTTCTTGGGCAACAAATTATAATGAAGGTTCAACAAAATACCATTTATTTACATTGGTCATACACCTCATTAGTTTGTTTGGTTCCATATTGTTCCTCACTTTAAATTTTTTCTTTTTCTTTTTAATTATTGCAAGGAATAAGTTCTAAACCCTCATGGTTTAATAATTTAATAATCACTTAACCTTTCGTATTTCTCTTTTTTAATTACTTACCTCCCCCTATTTTTTTTACTTGTTCGATGGGGCAAAATGAATAGATTAGGCTTTATTTGGGAGTTAGTTTTAAGAGAAAAATGAAAGAAAATAGATGATTTTATTAGTCTCTTTCCTTGTTTGTGAGTTTAAAAAAATAGGAGAAGGAAATTGGAGATTTTTGCAAAATCCTCCCAAACCCCTCTTACCCTTAAAATTAAAGTTCCCCCTATTTGGGGGATTTGAGGGGGTAAATATTAAAATTTACTTATTTACCCTTAGCATTAAAATGTGAAAATTATATAAATGTGAATCATTTTTAAAGGTGAAACTATTAGAAAAGTCTCAAATACCAACATAATTTATCGAAAAAAATTTCGTCAAAAATAATGATGAAATATTTGACAAAAATCATATTATGTCAAAAATAGAGACGAATTTTTTTCCGTCAAACCAAGAGACAAATAAGTGACGGAACAAGATTTTGTCATAATCACTGACATAAATTTTTGAGGGAAAAAAATTCAGTCAAAATTCTTGATAGAATCTAAATTTCGTTGAAACTTTTGACCAACACATTTTCGTCAAACTTTTCAACAAAAAATAATTCTATCAAAAAATTTGACGAAACACATTTCCATAAAAAAAAATTCGTCAAAATTTTAGACGAAAAATATTTCCATCAAAATTTTCAACTGGATGCATTTACAGCGAAAATTTTAACCAAAAATATTTACATAAAAAATTTGGATGAAAAATATTTCTGTAAAAATTTCACAGAATTTTTTTTTTGGTCAAAATTCTTTACAAAATTTAATTTTCCTCGATTATTTCCCTCAAATTTTTGACAGAAAAACATATATGTCGAAATTTTTGACAAAAAATATTTTCATCAAAATTTTCAACAGAACACATTTCAATCGAAATTTTATGACGGAAAATATTTTCATAAAATATATTGACGAAAAATATTTTGGTAAAAATAGTTGACGGAAAAATATGTTCGTCAAAATTCTTTACAAAATCTAAATTCCATCGAAATTTTTATAGAACATATTTCCATCAAAAAATTTCCACAAAAAAAATTCCATTAAAATTTCAAAGGAACAAATTTCCATCGAAATTTTTGACGAAAAATATTTTCGTAAAAGTTTTGGAGGAAAAATATTTATGTTAAAAATTTTGACGGAAAAAATGTTTCATCAAAATTCTTTACGGAATCTAAATTTCGTCGAAAGTTTCGACAGAAACATTTCTATCAAATATTTGAAAAAAAAATCGTCAAAATTTTGGTCGAAACACATTTCTATCGAAAATTTTAGACAGAAAATATTTCATCAAAATTTTGACGGAGTTCTTTTTTTCGTCAAAAATATTTAAGAAATTATTTTCGTTAAAACTTTTGACGAAAATTAAATTCCATTTTAAATTTTGACAAAAAATTGATTTCTATAAAAATTTAGACGGATAAAAAATTTTGTCGCCTTTCAACGAAAAGTATTTTGACTGTAAAATTCTTTTTCGATAGAAATTTGGTCGCATTGCAATGTAGAAATTTGATAAAAAATATGATATTTTTTAATAGTGTGAAAAGTACATAAGTAATTTTGTTAGAAATTCTAAATTTAATTTAATTTGTAAAATATAATAATTATATTAATTTTTATAAAAGTTAAAATCGTATAAATATCTCATTATCTCTTTCTTTTTCTCCCTTACCTTTTTTTAACTCCTAAATAAGGAGAGAGATTATCCTCCAATTTTCCTCTCTTCCTTCGCTTCCCTCCCCTGGATCCCCTTCCTTCCCTTCTTCTCCAAACTTCCAAACAAAGCCTTTTGAGAGTTGGTTTTAGGAGGGGAAGGAAAGGAAAGGGAGAATTTTAGGCTCTGTTTGATTTCTGTTTTGCAAAATAGTTTTTTAGTTTTCAGAACAAAAAAACTAAAAAACTCGTTTGGTAAGACTTGTTTTGTAAAAAATATTTTGAAAACTATAACTGTTTTTTTGTTTTTAAAATCAAATTTAGAGAACATGTCTGAGTTGTTTTTGTTTTCTGTTTTGATTTTTAACTTTCAAAAAGAAAAAATATAGAAAACAACTGTTTCCATAACTATTTTACAAAACAATTTTAAGAACAAAAAAATCAGAATACAATCAAACAGGCCCCTAGTAAGCTCTTCTCTTGTTTGAGAGTTTAAAAAAATGGGGGAAAGAAATTGGAGATTTTTTCTAAACTGTCCAAAATCCTCCTTCTTCTTAAGATTAAAGTTCCCCCAAATTGGGGGGTTTAAGGGGGAAAATATTAAAAATTACTTATCTGCTCTAAGCATTAAAATGTGAAAACTATATAAATGTGAATTATTTTTAAATGCGACATTATTAGAAAAGTTTCAACTACCAACATAATTTATCGACGAAAAAAATTTCGTCAAAAATAGTGATGAAATTATTTATGAAAATCATATACGTCAAAATTTTTCCTTCAAAACTAAAGTCGAAATTAGAGACGGAACCAGATTTTGCAGAAATAACTGACATAAATTTTTTACGAAAAAAAAATTCAGTCAAAATTATTGATAGAATCTAAATTCCGTCGAAACTTTCATCGAAAATATTTTCGTCCCAAATTTTGACGAAACACATTTTCATCAAAAAGTTTTGATGTAAAACAATTACATCAAAAAAATTTACGGAAAATATTTCCAACAAAATTTTTCGCAAAAAATTTCGACGAAAAATATTTCCATAAAAATTTGTGACAAAAAACCATTCTGTAAAAAAATTTGACGAAAAATAATTTTTGTCAAAATTCTTTACAGAATCTAAATTTTGTCAAAAAAATTTCCTCGAAATATTTCAATAAAAAACATATTAATCTACATTTTTGACGAAAAGTATTTTCATTAAAATTTTCAACGAAACACATTTCCATCAAAAAAAATTGACAGAAAAAAATTTCATCAAAATCAAATTTTCGTCAAAATTCTTTAGAGAATTTAAATTCCTGCGAAAGTTTTCGACGGAAACATTTTCTTTAAACTTTTTAACAAAAAAATTTCGTTGAAATTTTTTACGAAACACATTTTCGACGGAAAATATTTTCGTCAAGTTTTTTGGTAAAAAACATTACCATCAAAAAATTTGACAGAACTATTTTCTGTCCAAAAATTTTGACAAAAAATATTTTTGTAAAATATATTCTGACAAAATTCTTTAAAGAATCTAAATTTTGCCGAAAGTTTTGAATGAAACATTTCCCTCAAAAATTTTGACGAAATTCTTTTTTCGTTTAAAACATTTGATGGAGAAAATTATTTTCGTCAAAACTTTTGACGGAAACTAAATTACGTCAAAAATTTTGATAAAAAATTTATTTTTATAACAAATTTTATCGGAGAAAAAATTCCATCACTTTTCTACGAAAAGTATTCAAACAAACAAATAATTTTGTGACGAAATTTTTATCGTAAAAAGTACATAAATAAATTTATTAGAAATTTTAAATTTAATTTAATTTGTAAAATATAATAATTATATTAATTTTAAAAATTGGATAAAATGGTAAAAATATCTCATTAACCCCTTATATTTTTCCCTTATCAATTTTTTAACTCCAAATAAGGGAAGAAAATAGCCTTCAATTTTCTTCCTCTCTCTCCCCCTTGAATCTCCTTCATTCCCTTTCCCTCCAAACTCGCAATCAAAGTCTTAGTAGTTTGCATCCACTGGTAAAACAACATCCGTGCACCTTCAAATGTAACAATGCAACTTAATATTTATACTAAAAACCATGGGACTAAAAAAATTATTACTTCTGCTACAACTCTGAAATACTATAGTTGAATCTCACTATTGACATGACGGGATAAGTTTTGTCAATGATAAAATTATGAATCTCATCGGTTGAGTTAGCTGGACTTACGTCTTTATGTCACATGACAAAACATCCAGAATGTCTCGCCTCCTCATATCTCGTACTAAACATCATGTCCCACCAAGGCCGATAGAGACTATAGGCAAGACAAAACGACAATAATTTTGTAACATTTTTATCATTTTTCGTTGTGACAGATATCATTATTATATCTTAACCATTAATTTTCATCAATCAACTATTATTATTTCTGCAAATTAAACTCATTAATTAATTATTAATTCACAATAAATAATTATTAATTGACAAAAATCAATAATTAAAATATAACAGTAACATTATTTGATAATAACAATATTCTAATTTTTTTTATTATCCCAAAAAGCCTGTCATGTCTCAACAGTTGTACCTAGACAAAATAGCATCAGTGCACCTTCGGATGTAACATGTGGCAACAATGCAACTTATGGGAGAAAAAAATATCAAATATACCATGACCCTCAAATATTTTTTAAAATGCTACAGTAAAATCTCACTATTAGGCCCTATTTCTAGCACGAGTCAACTAGACTCGCGTACTTTTACCACATGACCAAATACCTGATGTCGGAGATTGGCACCGTTGACTCAGTCAACAAGACTTGAATCCTTCAATCACGTGATAAAAATATATCCCACAAGGCCCAAAAAAAAAATTTCACAAAAAGCCAAGTTGCAACTTACTGGAGCTTCAGAAGCTGGCACCCACTGGTATAGCAAGGCAAAATAGCATCAGTGCACTTTACAAAAGGTAGCTATAATAGACTTCAACGGACAAATTGTAGGGTCCTTAAAATATATTATTCTCCGTTCTAGTATAAGTTAAGAATGAACAATTCACCTCTCCCCCAAACAAACAGAAACAAACTAAACAAAAATCAAAACAAAATAACGAAAGCACAAGATGTACAAGACTATTTGATAAGTCCAAAATGAGTCCAAATGACGATATAGTCAGAAAGACATAACAGAGTATGAATAACAGCAGAGGCTCTTATACGCTTTACTGTTACATTTGAAACAACTCACAGGCATGTGGTGTATATTTAAATTTTCACACATGATCTGGAAGTCCGTCAAAATGATCCAGAACAACAAATTATTGGGGACACAACACGCCGAAACTCATTTTACTTTTTGAGAGGGGCAACACGTCAAAATGATCCGTCAAAAAAGTTGCGACACGCAATAGAAGCAATAAAGCAGAAAGTAAATATCCACAGAAACTTGAATTAGGAGTTGTCCGGCTCAGAATCTCCCTTAAGTAGCTGACTTGCATCATATCGCAACATCTCCACATACTCCTGCAAAAACAAAGTCAATTTTTGAAGAGGTTGTGCACAAATCATTAAGCAGAAGCTTAAAAGAAGTGGTTGGCTTATCAACATATTCGGTGCAACCAGCAGCTTTCAGTGCACTAAGACATACACAAACAAATACTTACGCTGACAAGACTCTCATTGTTGCATAACTCATTTATAAGATCATCAGAAATATTTCCACCGCCAGACAGCTCGACAGCATGTTCAGCTACAGCACGGAAAACATCTGTAGGTGGACTCAGGCGCTCAATCCTCTCTGCCACTAGTTGAAGGTCAAGCTGGAATATGTACAAGATAAGGAAACAGTCATAATAGAACTACTAATATAGCATTTCAGCTTAGAAAATAAATGGGTAACAGTGCTTAGGTATTCCCCCAAAAAAATATTTGAACTTGCGTCTTTTATTCAAAGAAACATTTTATGTTCACTTACAAATAGTTAGTTAGATCATATTTATGTTCTTCGTAGTCAAATTTTTTTTAAAACATCCTAGAGTCATTAAAATACACAAAGTAGGGAGTAATCAAATGACCCTTTTGTTTAGCACATCAATACATCCAATGACTATTTTGTAAAGTGAACAATGGGCCAACCATGGGCAAATAAATTTAATTACATCCCATTGCAGACCAGACAAATAAGACGAAGATAAGAAAAGGCTTGCAAAAGCAAACAATAAAACATGGAAGTGCAGCAATACAGCCAATGCCTTTCTGTTAGCACATGTATACAAACCTGTAAACTTTGATCATCAGAATTTTCATCTCTGTTAAGTGTTCCATCTCTGTTTGGTGCATGGGGTTCTGGTTCAGCAGCAGAGAATGGTGAGGGAGGAATTCCCCCACCAAAGGCTCGAGATACAATAGGCATCATCTGTTGAACCATCCTTGACAAATCAATACCACCACCCTGTCCTCTTTCCATTCCAGCAAACATACTCCCCACATCTTGACTGCCGAACTGTTGTGCCATTTGATCTACCGTGTTCATTAACTGTGGGTTCTGTGTGAACTGCTGCAACATATTACCCATATCTTGACTGCCCAACTGTTGTGCCATTTGATCCACCGCGCTCATTAACTGTGGGCTTTGTGTGAACTGCTGCAACATATTCCTCAAGACATCAGGTGAGTTGACTCTGGTTTGTTGTGAAGCAGGGCTATGTAAAGCCTGAGACATCAAACCAGCCACATCAATCTGGCTATCACTAGAGGGAAAGGGCCGCTCGGATGGTCCATTGGCATTTCTCGAATTCACAGCAGATCCATGACTTGCAAGATTTTGCAATATCCGCTGACCATCTGTTATGGTTTGCTGACTTTGATTGACAGAAGAACTGGATGATCCATCATCAGCACCTTTACTTACAGGAGGATGAAGTCTTGTTCGCCTCTGTTTTGGCACACAAATTTATGAAGGATAAGAGTAAAGAATAGTCATGTAATGTGATAAAGGGCACGAGATGTAGAAGTTTCAAATCAAGTTCACCAAGGCTCTGTGATAAGCACAAATGTGTCATGTTACAATTCCATTACTGTTTATGTGTCAAAAATTACGTAACACACTCCATGCAGTTCAATATTTGATGTTTTCTATTTTGTGACAACATATTGCTGGCTCCAAATGACTTGTTTTTTTATTTTTTCATCCTCTGAAATCATCTCATATTACAAGTAAATCAATATCCCCATTTCCCACGCGTGTAAGTAAAAAATTTAGAAAGTGTCAGAGAATAATATAAACCATTAAAAAAGCCCTCACCCAACACCTCAAAGTTTTGGGTTGAAATAGTTCTTTATATGGTATCAGAGCTTCAGTGACCATGAGATCATGAGTTCGATCCTCACCACCCTCCACATTCTAAGTGGAATTAAATAAGCACAAGGTAAACCAAAAAACAAATTGGGCCCATGTAATCCACGCTTCAAGCCCAAAGGGCTCTTGAGTAAGCGGGTGTGTTAGAGAATAATATAAACCATTAAAAATGCCCTCGCCCAACACCTTAAGGTTTTGGGTTGAAATAATTCTTTATAGAAAGACAAATATTGACAGAAAAATCAAGGCAAGCCCAACACAAAATAACTTTTGAAAAAACGGGGTGGAATGGGGAGACTTTCACCCCAGGATGCTTTATCTTCATAGGGTTGGGAGCACAACCAATCTGTGTTTACCATGACAAATGAAATCTCCATACAGCTTTTTATAAAAATCCCCATACATTGATTATAACACAGCCTTGGATGTGCATCAAATTAACTTCAGGTCAAAAGAATCTGTTTAAAATTGCTACATCATATTAACCTCTGAATTATGTCTAAAATTTGATGCACAGCCTTGGATGTGCAACAAATTAGCTTCAGGTCAAAAGAATGTTTTAAAATTGCTACATCATATTAACTTCCGAATTATGATAGCTTATTAAAAAAATTCAATGTTAAACTGCAGAATGGCTCCATCAACATCAAAGTATATATTCTAATACCTAAGAGGGTATCTGACAAACCAGTGTCATAAAATAACCACATTCTGAATCTATATGTTTTCAGTTTCTAATTAGTACATAGTAAAATATTTTCTTCATTTGCAAAGGCACAGTATCAGAATCCTAAGCCTTGTATATCACCTGTACCGATTTTTAAAGGTTTTTTTTTCTCTTATTTATTTATTTTCCTCTTATTTCTTCAATTTTTTTTATTCCTATTTTTACTTTCTTTTTTCTCTCATCTGTTTTTTTTCTCGTATTTATCTTTTTTTCACTTTATTTTATTTTTCTTTTTAATTGTTTATTGCTATTTTTTTCTATTTTTTAGTTGTTACTTATATAATTTTATTTCTTAATTTTTTTCATCCTTTTTTTTTTGTTTTTCCTCAATCTTTTCATATTTTTCATTTGGATTCATCTACCACCAATCTCAACTAATTTGGGATAAAGGTGATGTTGATGTTGATAGCAACACATTCAGGATAATACAATGTGTTGGAGTAGGGAGAGAAAACTGCTCCGGCAAGCATAATAGAACATAACTTCAATAAAAAAGGGGGGAAGTAAATATATAAATTCAAAGGGAAGAGGAAGACTCATCCAGCAGCCTTTCAAACACTATGCAAATAGCATTCCAACAACACAGCAAACAAATCAATTTACATAGCATGCTACATCAATTGGGAAATTTAGCTTCTTATTCAAAAAATAATAACCAATAAGCTCACCTTGCGTTCCAAACCACTCATACCCAATCCTAGTGGAGCAGCTTTGGCAGGTACAGTTACATCTTGTCTTTCACTTACAGATGGAGCATCATGTACTTTTTCTGATTTTACTATTGTTTCTCCACTAGAACAACTTTGCAAATCTTGATTGGAAGAACTCGAAACAAATTTGTCGACCAAAACATCTCTATCATCATTACTACAGGTTTGGACTGCCTCATTTTGGGGCTGGTTGTGATTGAGAGGAAAATTTCAGTAAATTAAAATCTATGCTTGTAAGGGACAGATATATCACCAGGTATGGGCAAAATTACTACCTTCTGTACCCCACTTTCAGATGCACAGCCAGCTGAAGATGTACTGGCAGCCCCAAAGCCATTCATCCCTATGGTATCTAGCCGTTCATTTCCCAGAGCAGGTCTTGATTCAGACCCAGAAGACAAGTCCCTGCTAGTTGATTCCATTTGACCTGATTGAATGCAAAACAGTTTTGAAAATTAAATACTACTGCATTGAGAGTCTACATATAATTAAACAATAAATTGGTAACCATCTGACAGAAATGTGTAATCTCCTTGCATATTACCAACAAAGTTTCTAACAGACGACAATGGAGCTGAGTCAGGTGGTGGCTGTGAAATAGAAACACCAAAACCAGTTTGTGTGCTACTAGCAACTCCAACACCAGGAGGGTGTGATGGAAGAGTTCCTGCTATGACATTTCTAATAGGTAATACCCGTGCAGAACTTGAATCACTAGAGCCAGGCTCATTTCGGTGTTCACCTCTTGTCCCTTCCCCATTATTTGGCCTAGAACTGATTGCTGAAAGAATTGGTGCAAGAGACGCACCTAGTAGGAAGCACAATTAGTAGAAGTTGTATAGTTCATAGGTACAACCATAGAAGTACAATTAGTTTTTATTTACCAGCATGTATATGAATGTTTACGTTCCTAGGAGCACTCCCAGTACCGCCTAATGTTGCAGGAGTTGAAGAAGGAACAGGACCACCAATGAGGGAGCTTGTCTGATGTGGAAAGGGCTGAAAATAGCATAATATCAGCATAACCAGAAACGATCAATGTAAAAACTATAAACCAATCCACACAGTTAAGAACAAGGTTCTCAGAGATCATCAAATATGCAGCAGACTTCATGGTCAACCTTGCACCAATATGAACAAACACAATTACCCACCCCAGTGAACCATGATCAGGATTCGACAACCCAAAATGGGGTGTTTTCCTAATTGCAGTTTGAGGCATTAACAATCAGTTAAGAAGAGACAAAACAGATGAAGCCCATGGCCCCATTGTTATATACAAAAGGGCTTAGCAACCTGAACTTGCTCTCGCACCATTAGAGGTAGCAATTTTCAACACGACCCATTGACGCAACATAAGAAATTCGTATTTGGGTCAACCCGTTTTCAAATTCATTGACAAAACCGTAGTGTTCATGTTGACAAGACCTGACACAATAAAATTCGTGTTGTGTTCCAGGAAAACCATATATGGACTGAAGCCTTCAATTTTCTAAGACAAGTTTTATCTATACAGATAGACTGGACAGCCTTGCTGCATTATTAATTTTTTCAACTTCCTTGTTATCTCTTGTCTAGCCTGCTTTTGAAGATATCTTGCCCCCAGTACTAGTTATAAATTTTCTCTTTTTTCTCTTGCAAAAGTTCATTTTCCATCCCAAAAAGATGTTAACTGATTTCTCCTTTCCTTATGTATCATACAGCTGTAACTTACTGTATACAAAAAAATGTAAAAAAATATAATCAGACTGTAAAAATATCCCTTCTTTCATGAACTATCTATTAAAGTTACATGACAGAGGTCACAATTTACAACCTAATTCAACGAATATTAACCATTTTTCCCTTGCATATCGGCAGGAATTTAGATTATATTGTTTCTGAAGACATGAAATCTTAAGCATATAGTGTAATATGTCAACTGTAAAGAGTCAAGTTCAACATCAAAACAATTTCCTATATTAAGAGAGCGAAGAAATAGTTTTGAAGGCTTATGTTGCAAAAAGAATATTTTCATGAAACAGTATTACTAGGACAAGGTATTGAAATAAAAGCGGTCATCAACTGTCTTTCAATCTTCAATCATTTATCAACAATCTATTTGACGTTAAACCAAAGTAATCATGTACAATTCCACTTTCCAGGTTTGAAATATCAACAACAAAAAGTTTATTCCATGTTAATCAACCTGATCGAAACATCATATAATGCTTAAATGCTTAAATAAATGAACTGCCACATAGAATCACCATTTACAAAACCAGGATCGATCGAAATAAATGAAAAACCTGCACCATAATAGGATTTGGCCCTGAAGGAGAAATATAAACTGCTGGTCCAGCATTAACAACAGATTCTGCCTGAAATTAGAATATGATCATGAACAATATGTTAACATGATAAAGTAAATCAAATCACTTAAGAAAAGAATAAAAACATACAGAAGCCTGTCCCATATGCAGTGTCAACATTGTTCGGCCGAGTTCAAGTAGAAGTGCACCCAAATGATGCATAGCAAGTCCTATTTGCATTGACTCTGACTGTATTTGACCCCTCATATGTAGATCAGAAGAAGTACCCTCTCTCTCCAATCGTCCTGCAATGTGCTACGGTAGCAAAATACAAGTAAAACATGATCAGATAAGATAAAGGGTGAAGATAGTCAGGCTAGTTCAAACTAATGAATTCTACAATTCATATATGTACTTCATCATGATAACAACATTGTGTTAAACAAAAATATTTTTAGACTCAGATTCTGTTAGAGATTTATGTATTATTGCATCAACATATGTAGTCAGGGATGGACAGAAAGATATCAGAAGATTTGAGGTTGTATCTAGCAAGAGAGTATGCAATAAATACATCTCTCAAATACTAAGACATCTTCTAATCTAATCTCAACTGGATTTGCCCTGACATCCAAACCAGGTTTAACTGACAAAACAGACTAAGATGTGTCAAGATCCCTCAATTAATCAGCTGACATGATCGATAAATATGCAGGTCTTATCATAGTCCATTAAAGATCAAGCCCTGTTAAGATTAGTGAATTTCCACACATAGAAGTGAAGGTTTAGTTAGATACAACAAGTTTATTGCAGACGAGGTACCTAGCAGAGGAAAGTAAGAAGGTTCCCAATTATTCAGTTCACATAAATAAATTTTTTTTACCATCAATCTCTAAAATAAGCATACTAAAATGCCAGTCATTTTGACACCGTTTTACTTCCTCCAAACACGAATATATTGCGCATTAATGCTTTTAAGGAACAACTGGTTAAAGAGTGCCACAGTTCATTGTGCCTAAAATTAGTACTTAGGATTATCCTATGCAACTTCCAACCACCTTTCTTTTTTAGTAAATCTATAATTCACAAGCCTTCCTGCCAGTAAGACTTATACTGACAACAAATATCCAATGATTGCAGACAGTAAAAAAATATTTATATCATTAAGGGGAAAAGATGAATATTTGAAAATGGGATGTGTTAATTACAGATAGCGCAGCAACAGCGTGACCACCAAGCAACTGTTCTGCACGACGCAAGACAGTGCTTAGCGCTTCAAGTGTCGGCAACCCTTGTGCATTGGATGGCAATTCAACTCGTTGATTTCCAGGATTAGTTGAAGACAGATTCGGTGCATAACCTGCATAAGCAAATCTAAATATTTCAACTTCCTTTCAATTTAAAATAAAAGGGCTACAGTTTCAACATCATCACCATATTGTGATAGTGTCTGTTCCATGTGATTTATAAACTCAGACAGTGTGTTCAATGAATGAGGAATTGGCTGAAATGAAGAAGAAAAAAAGTTCAATGTTATCAAGAATGCATTAAATTTCAAGAAAACAAAATTAAGAGGGTATGAAGAAGAGAGACTATGTTCCTACTGCATTGAGAGAAGGAGCGGGTATAGCTCCTGCAGCCATAGGAATCTGAACAACTTGAGACAGAGATTGGAATGCTTGAACAGGAAATGTCTGCCCGGACTGTGCCTGATTTCCTGCTAGGTTTTGATTTCCAGCATTCATTTCTTCAGTTCCATTCCCTGGTGGAGCCTGACAGGATGGATTGGGCCCGGTTTAGATGCACACCAACTTAGTTCAAACGACATATATTGCAGGAAGCATGTAGCAAAACAACATTACTAACTTGAAAGGAAAACAGTGTGTTCTGCACCCATTCTATCTCAAAATTAAACTGACGATAACAAATAGAGGATTTAACCATGCCATGATAGTGTCATAAGGAAAAATAAAAATCTATCATTGTACCCAAGCCCCAAAAAAAAAAAAGGGAAAATAAAGATTCCAAAATTAGATAAATAATCATTCATAAGGTACTTGAGAAATAATACTATAAGAGCAATCAGTGAAAACATTGTACACTAAGAAACATAAGCCACCTGAAATAGATACCACAACACATGATTGCTTCATGATCTAAGGAGATCAAATTAAAATGGACAAGCAGAAAGAACCTACACAATATTTACCATGCAATATTGCAAGGAGAATCTCATAACAGAAGAAGATTAGTAGCCTGGGCAATAAAATGGCTGTGAACTTAATTCAGAGTCATTCATGAATAAGAAAATTATGTATGTGCATATCATAACCCAGTTAAATCACACAAATGATAGAAAATATAGCAAAAGGGTATCTTTTCAAGCAAAAAGTGATACACACCGAAGACGTTTGTGTAGCATTAGGAACACTAATTGTGTTCTGGCCACCATTTCCAATAGAATTCAAAACTGCCCCAATAACCTGAAAACATAATACAACAATCCATAATGTATTTCAGGCAATAACAAAGCAAACCATTACGGCCAACACCTATCTGAAGACTAATAGAATAAAACTCATGAACATGAACTACTCAAGATATATGCAAAAGTAACGAACCCGACTGAGGTCATGAACAATGCCTTCACCTTGTTCCCCCACATTAAAAGTCCCAAGAACAACACTGTGCGAAATTTGCCCAACACGATTACGAGAAGCCCCTGAGCCTACATCATTACCTTCCAAATAATAAAACTTATCATTATTAGCATAGTACAACAGAAACTTGATCTACAAAAAAATTCTTAAAACCTGGAAGGAGAAAAAAGAAAAAAAAGAACATGAATGCAGCCTTCAGTTATACCTCGGTTACCACTTGTACCAGTACCAGTTGGCTCCCCAGAACTCGTACCAGAAGCTTGTGACTGATTTGGTTGTCTTTCAACTAAATGCAATGTATGCCCATTCTCAACATCTTAAATGGTTAAGGATTATGTTAGAAAATAAATAGATAAACACCATAGTTTGATTTCAAACACAAACCCATTTCAACATTTAAAAAAAATTCTGCTTCAAGCCATAGCATTTCCTTCAGCCATGCAATCCAAGTTTTTTTAAAAGCCAAACTAATAAGGATGTTGAATAAAGAGAAAATATTGAATGTACTTTACTTACAAGATAGAAAATCATCTTAAAACTAAGAAACATCCAGATCAACTAAGCATGAATCCGATGAAAAAAAAAATCTACAATTTAAAGGATACGATACTCAGAAAGAACGTGCTCATCCTTTAAGACCTTTCCTCTAAAAATCAGCCGTTGCTGACTTACTGGGACACCGATTTCATTTGCAATTTTCTCTTTGAACAACGAAACAGGCATCTGAAATAATATTGAAGACCAGCTCCAGAGTTATGCTCTAACCTACAGATATTACCACAAAAAAGGGCTTGAAAAACACAAGAATCACGGGAATGGAGATTATAGCTCACATTTTTTTCCACTTGAAAACTGTAGATACGAGAATCTAGAGTCTTGATATTGAGCTGAACAGTTGATTCTGAACCCTCTGAAATATTGCCAATACTGGAGCCTTCATTGGAGCTCTGACCCGCCATGCTATTTGTTCAGCTGCAAAGTCTTGGACCTAGGAATTCAACAGAACTAACCACGCAATAAAGATACCAAAGTAACTGCAACACAATGCAAATGTAGGCCCATATTAATCAGAAGGTATTTCATCGAGGCATCAGAAGATGACCAAACGCATAACTTCACAACCATGTAGCAATATAGAGTATTCTACTTTGACCATAAACAGGTCCATGCAGAAAAAGCACACGAGAAAACACCATGCTTGTATGACTATGATCAGTGATAAAACATATCTAATACATCCGTGTGCAAGAGTTATGCAATATGTAAAACTCAGCAAATCTTCATTTTCAGTCATTAAATTATAAAATCCAGTAAACTAAAAATTGCCTCAGTAACGCAAATATAAAATATGATTATCTTATGCATCAGTCATCACTTTCCTCGTCTAAACAACTCATAAATAACCTCAGTGTCATTCGACATATCAATTAGGTTTTGGGAACTACCAGACGTTGATGCTTTAATCCAAACACAATAATGTCTTCTAATGCATATGCAATCAAGACACGCCAATAAGGCACAGAAAAGGATCATATCCAATAAAAAAAATATACAGAACACAACAAAGACGCAAAAATTAATTTCAGGTTCGTTACGCCAAATAAGTGTATGAATGACTCAAAGGTTGATCAGACTTTGATAGTCCAGTTATCATCAACACGCACACAAAAAAAAAATTCATCAAATTTCAAAATATGATTCAAGTAGCCACCGTAATTACAATGCAAATAATAATCAAAAACAGCGATTCAAGTATGACAGATATTTCACAACAGGGAACTAACTCACCTTGATGAGTAAGGGAAGTTCCCCTCGCTACTGAGAAGATGAGAGCAACGAAACAGAAAAGGAGTAAGGGAAAAAGTATTGGAAGAGAAAAATAGCTTATAAGATCTGCGTTGGAAGATTCTAGAGAGATTTTGGTGGAAATGAATAGTAATAAAGTAGAGTAATATATATGTATAGAGAGAGAGAGGGGTGAAAAAAGTTCTCACCGTCACCGTTGTTCAAGGCGATGATCTTTCGAGAAACTTCGACAAGGGGGCGATGCTAATTACCTCTATGCATATTGATTCCACTTTTTCATTTTCTTGTCACAGACTCAAAGAATACAAAATAAGGGGCAGCAAGTCGTCTACGAGTCGTTGTGTGACTGGGCTTTCCAGCCCATTCAATCAAACACCGTCAATCATCAAAATAACCATTGGCCCAGTAGGCCTAGGCTCTTGATTTGATATCTTCAAAACTTATTAATAAAAATTAAAGCATTTAACATATTATGAATAAATTACCCACAAAAGAAAGGTCGGAATACAAATTTGGGTAGATAAAGAAACAACTCCTTACCCAACGGGTGTTGGTTCTTGCGCTGAGTTAGTGGAGTTGGACATGTGTTCGATTCCTGCTGAATGCATTCTTGGAGAGGGGGCTGAACCTTTAGCCATCACTAACCCCCGCACTCTGGATTAGTCTCATAGCCAGCTCAAAGAGTCGAAGCTTGTGGGGATACCGGAGGGAGCCAACTCGCCTCAAAGAGGTAATTAGGGTTGGGTAACTCCAAAAAAAAGAAACAACTCCTTGAAGTCTAACTTAAAAATGTAAAAAGTATTAATTACTTTCTTAAATAAGTAATTAGAAATATTTAATAAGTATAATTCAATGTTTCTAAACCATTATCTTTTAACATGACCTCAAATTATTTATTCATTGAACGAGATTATTAAGATTGTGTTTGAATGGTGTTTAGATATATGTATACCTGGATGAGTTGCGAGGTTGTGCTTCTAGCTTTCATTGATGTAGACATGTCGATGCATGAAAATGGCTCATCCATATGCTCTGATGAAATAAGAGGGTGTAAATCCCCAAGGGTAGCTCAGTTGGCAACTGCGCTCTCAAGGGTTTGCTTGAGTCAGGGGTTCAAACCCTGCCTCAAGCAAATTCTTGGAAAATCTTTAGGAGCCAGAGGATGTGTCTCCCTCCTCGAATTGGGGGATTAGTCTCATACTTCCTCCGGTAGCGAAGTTCAATGCACCCGCTGTTCCAATGAGGGGCTAGCCTACAGGGCCGTACCCCGAGGACAAGGTGACCGGAGGAGGTTGAATAGGGATACCTCCAGGTTATACCAAAAAAAAAAAAAAAAAAAGAAATAAGAGGGTGTTGCACTTACAGGCACTCTGATATTCAAGTCAGTAAGAGGAATGAAGTGTAATTGAAAGATAGTTACCTTTGTAGTTATTGAGTGAGAGTCAAGACTCTTGCTTATAAAAGGTGGCCTTCATGGAGTCCTAAGGAGCCTAGGATTTCCCCTTTAATGGCTCAAGTGGATAATGAGCCTAGAATTAGGTCCAAAATAAAAGCCTCTAAGCTTAGTGTTTCACTTCTTGGATACCGAGTTTATAAGATATGTTGGCCCAGTTTGGAGAAGTCTGTAGTGGAGTTAGGTTGCATGCTAGGTTGCAAATACAATTTGCATCTTGGAATACTAGGTTCGAGGTCAAAGCCTTTCATTTGAGTTTGAAGCTTAAGAAGTTAATATCTCGACAGGTAATAACAAAAAAACATTAATAATGTGCAAAAACGAGTTGGGACTTTAGTATGCCTAAACAAGATAGGACTTTTGAAGATCACTCAACTAATTTAAGGCTCTAACTAATTGTCTCAACTAGCAAAGTTACATGGAAGATCACCCATCCGAGATAAGAGTTTGAACCGACTTCCTTAACTAGCAAGGATTTACATAAGATCATCTATATGAGATGGGGCTTAAACTAACTACCTCAACAAGCAATATCTTACGGGAGATCACCCATCTGAGATAGGGCTTTGAAGATGTGCTTAAACTTACTAGGTCTTTTGTGGGTACGTTGCAATAGATGCCTTAATGAGACATACCAACTTGCAAGAAAGATGTCATAATTCAGTTGTTAGGTTGCTTATAAAAAAACTATAGTCAAAAGAAAATGAAAATGAGATTTAAGAGAGAACCATTTATATGTTATTAAGCAACCAACCTTACCACTCACCAAGATGGCCTCTTGGGGCTGAGATGACTTGCTTGTAATCGAGGTGCTGCTATGTATATGTTATGCAGTGAAAATTTTATTGTTCACAAAAAGAATTTTGCACCCAATCATTGTTAAAGCTATTAAATCAATATATGAATAGGCCTAATTGGAAATAGCAGAATGAGAATTTCCATTAAAGCTATCATCTCCCGAAGTTTAATAGCCATAATGATCATTTGATGTCAGTCAAAAATCATGCTTTGCATGAATTACAACTTGGCACAATTTGTCACAATATAATATTAAATTAATCCTAAGTTTATCTGCCATAGGATGGTGGCTAATCTTAGGAGAAATGAATAAAATTAAAAAAGATCGTCGTGTCATGAGCCAAGTTCTTGGGGAAAATAGATGGATCTCGTTTGCTTGAGGTCTATGATGTAGAAATTTACATTGAACAAGATATTTTTAAAAATTTGATTGTAAAATTTCAAGGGCCTAGGTTATAATCAATTTGAGAATCAAAACATAAGATTCTAAAATCATCAATTATAATCAATATGGGGAGTCAAATCTTGTCGCAAAATGTATGCTCAGACTTAGATCCAGTATTGAATTCAGAGATACCTTATGTTGAGAATTAAGAGACAAAAATTCAAGGATTTTATTTTTGACTTATGGATTAGGTTGAGTGTGCTTCCTACGTTTAATGCGGGAATAGAAATTTATCAGTTCTCACTGATTACTCCAATATTCATATATGTATACCTGAACAATTTGTGAGTTTTCGCTTGAACTTCCATTGATGCAAGCCTCCCGATGGGTGAATATGGCTCCTCCATGTGCTACAGTGGAATATTGGGGTCTTGCACCACCAGGAACTCTAATGCAATTCAATGAGTGTAAGAGGAATGGAGTGTAATGGTAAGATAATTACCCTTGTAAATTGAGTGAAAGTGAAGACTCTTACTTATAAGAAGTGTTTTCTAAGGTGTCCCAAGGAGCCTAGGGTTTCTCCCTTAGTGAGCCAAGTGGATAATGGACCTAGAGTTAGGTCCAAAAGAGATTGAATTTTCAAATTTTAAAGAAAAATTAAAATGTAAAGAAATTCAAATTTGTAAAATTCTTTTATTATTTAAATTCATTATTTGAATAGTTGCTCATAAAATTAAAATTTCAATCCAAATTCTCCTATGCATCTTTCCAATTGATACTTAACAGTCCTTTTATAGGTTTGGAAAGATGCCAACTCATGTCCGTCTTTACTTCTTGGTCAATAGAAATGGAAGTTCTTGAAGCAAGAATTGAGGGCATTATCTTTAACATTAAAGTCTTGATTCCTTGTCAAAATAACAAGTTTATCACACAAATTATTTAAATTCTCTTCAAAAAGACTAAAATTTGAAACATAATTTGAACATAAGGCATGTTTTTGAAGAGGTTCACTTAGTTAATTGCATCAATCTTAGAAACACGAGCCAAATATCACTTCAGCAATTCGCATCACTCTCTTCATTTCTCTTCCTTCCATTATTTTAAATGTAATTTTGAAGATATAAAAATGAATCTAAATAAAAATAATTTAGAATTTTTAAATCCCTTGTTTCAACATACAAAATAAATCATTTTCATTACAAGTCACTTTAAATTCTCCCGAAAATATTTCAATATTGAAATCATTTATCTATACGCACGGATAGAAAAATACTAATTGCTCCTAAAAGTTACTCATGAACAAGTGCCAATAAATTATTGAAAGTTATTGTTCACTAACGTGGCATTCATATATTGAGATAAGCAAGGTATGCATGCAAACTCCAATAGGTGTTAATTCCTTATTTTTGTTTAAGAATTTAAATGTATATTTTTGAATATTATCCATTAATTTATTGATTACTCGACTAATCCAATTTGAGCCGGGTAGGATCACTTAGGTGAAAAATTCTCCCAACCAAGTTTTAACATAACTACATTTCTTATGACTTAAACTTGAGACAACTGGTTAAGCTTGAACAACCCATTATCACTTGATCCATATGCTAAGTTCTGATTGTAAATGTATATTCTACAACTTATTTTGAAACAATTATTAATGACTATTTTAATTTTCAATTACCCTTTCCTGGATCAGGGTTTGTGTATTGATCAAATTTTCTCAATAAGCAGTGCTTATCAAAACCTAATGAATCAGAAGAGAGAAAATGAACTTCAATTGAGTAAAAAAATAATGAATAAAAAATTATAAAAGGAGCTAACAATGCTCCAAATATATGCCAACATTATATCTTCTATTGGGAAAAACTAACTCAACAGGAAGAGATGCTATCGAATTAACTGACTCACATAATCATTTAGTAACATATTAAATAAAATAGTACACATGCACAAGTATTGGCATGAAAAAGAGTGTCCACGAGTTTATATCAGGGTAGCACAAGAGGTGAAGTTTTGATTTTAACACCCTCCTTCAAGTTCAAAGATGTACATTTAAAAGACCCAAATTGCTAACCAAGTTCTTAAACGGACATGCAGACAAGCTTTTAGTGAAAAGATTTGCCTGCTGGGTTACGGAAGCTATGGGTAGAAGATAAATCAGTCCATCATTGATATTTTCACGAATCAAATAAGAATCTATGTCTATGTGCTTTGCTCTTTCATGAAAGCTTGGATTGTGGGCTAAATAAATCATTGAGCGTGTTATGGACCCATATAAGGGGCCTATTAAGTGATAAGCCCAACAAGGGGCAATCCAAGATATGGATTGATATTAATAAGGGGTAGATATCCATCAAGGATACTAATCCTAATACAACAGCATGACAAGCAAGCCTGGGCCCTCACCAGAGGCACCAAAGGCCCATCCACACTACCCACAGGTAACCTCTATAAATATAAGGTAAACCCTAAAGGTACGTACGCTCTCTCTCTTAC